CATGAGATCTCGCAGGAGATGCAGTCAGGTCTGTTTCTAGAGCTGATGAAATATACATGGAAGTATAATGCACGAGATGATATCAGCACTTGTCTATTTCTAATCAATCAACATGTGGATTCCGGAAGTTAGACTGACGACACGACGACAGCAATGACACTCGCTGCGTTGACGGGTGTCAGTGCATCTATTACAACTAATTACATATGAATGTATTAAGCCTTGTATGAAAGGACGTATTAACATCTCTGAAAATGTATATTGATATGATCATACAACTTTTGCTTAAATATTCATTTCTTTGTCTGTTTGTTCAACGCCGTACTCAGCAATATTCCAGCGATGTGACGGGGGTCTGGACCTGACAATCCAGTGATTGACATTATGAGCATCGATCTGATATACAATGCATCAACCATGTCATCAAGACCAATTCTGAACCGGATCATTACGGGTCTTCAAATACACATACTAAATGAATATGCAACTGTGTTATGAGAATCCATTTATTGAATGTGGTCATTTCGATGTTTTAAGGTTCAAAATCATGGGGGCGGTGGGGTAGCCTTGTGGTTAAGGCGTTCGCTCGTCACGCCGAGGACCCGGGTTAGATTCCCCACATGGACACAATGTGTGAAGCCCATTCCTAGTGTCCCCGCCGTGATATTGCTGGAATATTGCTAAAAGCGGAGTAAAAGTAAACTTACTCACTCACTCAAAATCATATTTTGAAATGTCCTGGTTATGAATGTTCTGGCATCATTTTCAGATAATCACAACAAAATGGGCCAAGGGCAGTATCCCTGTTATAATCCTCACGGTGCCGCGCCTGTCACAGCTTGTCCTCTCCCCCAAAAGATTTCATCCAGAATTTAAATAAACCCACAGTGTTGAAAATATTTTATTCCTTGGATTTTTATAGAAATTCTGTCCCAATGTTCTTTGTAGTGTTCTATGTGTGTAGAGCGGTGGTTACAACTGACATAGATCTAGTTGATCCATGCATCTCTAATATACGCACAGATTACGTATACCTGTATTCGTACTGAAGCTGCTGTATTTGTGGTTTTGATAAATATACAAATCAGCAATATTTGAAACCTAAAGTACCACATATTGATAAAATTGCTAAAAGATAAACAATAAAACAGTCAGTTTTCATGCTTCGAAATTAATAATTCCACTTAACAGAAAGAGTGAACGTTGCTTCATAACGTTTGATTATTAACTGAAATGAACTTTCAGTAATATTTTTAAGGTATACATGTGTACCTACAAAGTAGATAAAACGAAATTATAATCAAAGTTCATACTTTACTTTTAGTATTTATTTTAACGCGGTACGCGGTAATATTCAAGAAATAAACCTGGCCTCTAAATCTGGACCAGACAAACAAGTGATCGATGTTATGAGTAATTAATCCATCATGCCGCCATGCAGGGCACGATGACAGGGACATCTCTTCACCACCCCCATCTATGTGGATGCCTCCTAAGGACAAGCACAGGATGTTGGGGACCTGTTATTACGAGAACGACTACATGGGGCAAATATTTTTAGCGTAATTATTTGTTGTTGATTTATTCAGTGCTGTTAACGGATACAATGATTTTGATACATTTTATAAATAAAAATATATCTATTTTACTACACAATGATTCTTGAAAACTTTTTTCAATATATGTACATGTACTTTCAGTTATATAAGATAGATTAGATAGTTATAGCTGTGTTAATAGCTGTGGCAGAGGGCATTTAGAAGCATGAAAACGTGTTGATTGTATAGTGTTGTTTGAAACCGCTGTTATCACTCATTATTCAAAACGTTCTCATATGACCTTGCGAAGTTTAAAAGAAATGAAAATAAACGTAACCAAACTGTCAGAACATAATCATTAACAGAAAGATGTCTCAGTTTGACATATCAAAATATGATATTCAAATACACACGGCCTGGCATTTATTAGTACCATAATATTTTATAAGTTCCGCAACCTACATTATTCGTTTAGTATCACGTTACGTTTGTTTGAGCGAACGTTGATGATATCATATGGTAGAATGAACCCAGTTTACAGCTTAGCGTTACAATCTGTAGAAGGAATTCAGTTTATAGTTAAAAGTCGTCTTATTTATCATCAGTTTAAAAATACGTCCAACTTAAGGTTTTTCTACCTCGAGGTTATATATGCTTGGCGTTAGCGAAATTTCTCAAATCAATGTACGAGGCGACAAAAATCTGGGAGGTTTGAAACGACAAGCTTGTGTGCTACACCACTGAACTGAACTATTGAGTTACTACCGATTGCATGGCCCGGGCAGCTTGTTAATTAGCTCCTGGTCAGTTTCGGCAAATTAAGACAAGACAAATCGCCAAATATGAGCTGTAGTGAAATAGACAGTAACATGTAAACGATTTGATTTGAAGCCCGAGGGAAGTGGTGATTAGATTTAACGATGGGCAAACTCGGGCTGCTATAGATTATTAATTTTCACAAGTGATTTTCTAAATTATCATGTTATGAGAAAGGGGTTAGCACATTTCACGAAGCCACATCGCTGTCTTAATCATCTTAATGACTTGAGTCTTTCTTTATTTCAGAGAAACTATTAAAGCAAAATGAAAGATTTCCAAAATTTTCTCTTCAACCTGTGGTAATATCGTGTGTAAAAGCTCTTAAGAATGATCATTACTTCATAACAATATAGAATATACGTACGCCTGCCTTGGTATTGACATCGTAATTGTTACAGATGACGTGAAATGAACACCATATTGAAATAAACATTCGTTATGCAATTAACATCAACAAAGATTCGTGAGGAGCTGATATTAGTTCCCTTCTTTTTCTCTCTATCAAACAGCTTGGACGGAAATATATTGCATTATACCTTTACATACTCACATTATGATTTGAGAATGATATTTAATAATTAATAATAGTTGATTGATAAGAAAACGGGAGATAACAGTCATCTCAGGGAAGCATTATCTTAATCACCGTAATCACAGAGTTAAATTAGTTGTGTAAATTACAATCCATCAACCTATAACTATGTTTATTATATGAAGATTTATAACGCACACCTGGAACACCTGCTGACCATGAGATGAAGAACAGAGCACAATTTCCGTACTTGTAATTTGCGTGGCACACTTGTGTGATGTGGATCATTGTTTTACGATGAAATTTTAGAAGCAGAAACTTTGGAATCGAGCACATTTATCATATTTTAAGATTTTAGACAATTACAATATATGTATTTACTATGAGTGAGTATGGTTTTACGACGCTTTTAGCAATATTCAAGCAATATCACGGCGGAGGACACCAGCTTCACACATTGTACCCATGTGGGGAATCGAACCCGGGTCTTCGACGTGACGAGCGAACGCTTTACCACTAGGCTACTCCACCGTCCCAATTTTCTATGTGTATATATTAATATTTACGCTTCACATTTATTTAGATCAGTTAGGATGTAGTACATTCAGTTCTTGCCACTTAAACATAATATATAAAAAAAGCTCTTGAGTGATAACGAGCTGGTGTATTTTATTCAGTTGTTGTTTGGGTAATTGTAGATAACTAAACCTTTACCGAAATACATTTTGTATCATCATGAAATATAACATCGAACACATATTGTGATATATGTAGGTGCTAGCGTGTGTGAGAACCAACATAAAATTTAATGTTAGTAATTTATAACAGCAGTCAACAGTCGATAAATGAATGCATTTTGAGTATGGGGACATTGATATATAGAGAGGGGAGGAGGAAGATATGCAGAGGAAGAACATAGAGAGATATGTGACGAGATGGGGATGCGGCTGATCAACATCAGTATAAACAACTACAGAAGGAGATCCTTAATGGTCATAACGTTGAGCCATAATTAAATAATGCTTAGTTTCAGACAATATAGTTACTAGAAAACGCCATGACATTGTATGTCTTTACATTAAATGTCACGCAAATATTACGAAAGGGGTATGTAAGTACAAGTTTAGAAGCATTTGAATAAAACCCATTCGACAAACTTTGCATTAATTCATGGCAAGAGCTGGACTAAATGATCTTAAGGATGAGTTTTGTGGGTTTCATCCATATCATCCTGTCTTATTACACGTACTAAAATATGTCGATTGTTAATATATTGTTTTTTCTTTGTGATTATGGACGAAGAGTTTCAGGATATGTGTTTCAGAAGTTGTCGGTTTTGTTTCTGGATGAAAATAGACGAAGCGTTTTAGAATACATGTCGAATGAAATATATTAAAATAATTCCAATCTAAAATTCGACATTCTAAACTTAATTTCATCGTTATATGTGTTTCTATCTATGAATGTGTGTAATCTGATTTTTCTGAAATTTGTCGCCATTTAAATGTTTTCAGTACATATGTATTTCATTCTAGCAATTTTCACTCATAGCATTGTTTGTGCGCTCAGAGATTAAATGATTTAATCAACGTTTACTTAATACACCAATATCGACATTATGGAAGAAAATCATTTAATTCCCTGTCAAAACAGACTGGAGTGGTCATTTACGAGATAATATCCTTATTAGCAATGTGACAAAACATCCAACGGTGAGAATCCGCGACAATTCAAGCGTACACTGTCCGTGCCATCTATCCCACGGTGTCAAGGGACCCAGATATCCCGAATTATAAAACGTAAATCTTTCCAGAGATCGCAATCCCTATTATTACCACTACAGACAAAACTTCAACATTGATGACGGTTACCGATCCCACCAGAAACCATGTGTTTGCTTCAGCTGAGAAGCGCAAGGCTTGTGTTTACATCCCAAAGCAGCTATCTTACCGCTAGCTAATCCGACCAACCGTACAAGCCGCACGGTGTTGGCTGCGAGCGTTTGATTGACAGCTATCAGTGATGATTGACAGTGTCTCCATGACGACTAAGTGAAGGATCTGCCCTCGCCCAATCGTTTAGAAGGCAATTGGCGATTGGGCTGCCTGATGTATGTGATTGTAAGGCCCGATTTCTGCAGCCCTTGTGATAAAAAAGTGACACATTAGGTGATGGTGACCACTCCCCAATGCTTTCTGTTTATAATAGTGTCGATGTACGATCGCGCTTAAAGAAATAACATCCTAGGAAGGGACTCGACAGTTACCAGCGTTTCTTTAGCGTCGACGGAGAGCCGTCACACCACCCGAACAGGACTCATGTTTGGACTTTGTGGAGTCGATACCCCCTTACTCCCAGCGATGTTCCCCCTCCCCACCCTACACTTCACACCGCAGCAAGTTGCTAAGGTGTGTGAGACATTGGAAGAAAGTGGAGACATTGAAAGATTAGGCCGATTTTTGTGGTCGCTACCCGTCAATCCGTCAGCATGCGAGGCACTTAACAAACACGAGTCGGTGCTCAGGGCGCGAGCTCTCGTGGCCTTCCACACGGGCAATTTCAGAGACTTGTACCACATTTTAGAAAATCAAAAATTCACGAAAGAATCCCATGCCAAACTTCAGGCGATGTGGCTCGAGGCTCACTACCAGGAAGCCGAAAAAACTCCGAGGACGACCATTAGGCCCTGTTGATAAATACCGAGTCAGGAAGAAATATCCCCTACCCAGAACAATCTGGGACGGCGAACAGAAAACCCATTGTTTTAAAGAACGCACACGGAATCTTTTGAGAGAATGGTACCTTCAAGACCCATACCCCAACCCCACGAAGAAAAGGGAGCTTGCCCAGGCCACAGGTCTAACGCCTACCCAAGTTGGGAACTGGTTTAAAAATCGAAGACAGAGAGACAGAGCGGCTGCCGCGAAAAATAGGTAAGAAAAGCTTTGAAAATATATATTTTCCGCCCATCCATTTCTGAATATCTCATGTACACATAAATGTTTAAACTCCAATTCTCCTTAAGTTATGTTCCATAAAAGACACTTTGTAGGACTGTTAAATCGATGAGTAAACTGTGTATCAATACTTCTATGTATACCCTCGTCCCGAAAACTAGATAAGAACATGTCATGTAAATATTAGTTTGTTCATTTCTTCATCATATTATTCAGTATCTTTTAGAAATATCAAAAATTAGTTTAATATTTTATGGAAGTGTATTCGTTTTGAGTGCTATTGCAGACAGTACATATCTATTGTGCAGAAAACACGATTCACGCGTGACTAGTTCATACATAATAACATATATAGAACGTTCAAGCAATACAGAATTTGTTTAATGTGTTCTGTTTGTATGGAAACGTGTCCTGTTTACTCAATAATTCAATTTTCCAAAAATATCAATTTAAGACTACAGGCGCATCAAACATCAATGTTTTCATTCGTCATACTACAACTGCTTGAAAGCGATGTATGCTTTACTCAAATATGTGAAACCCATGGCCTCAATTATTTCACATTTAGTCCGTATTTGTCTCAAAAACAAGTTTATTGTGGTGCACTTACTGTACACACAACCCATGCAACATTTCGAGAATATTAAGTAAAACTTTCTCCGCACCTGCCACGTACGAGGAAATAGCTTGACTCAAAATTCAATAAACTGCTTCAGGCAAAACTGTACAGTCTAGTAACTGTATGAACTGTAATGGCTTAAAATAATTTTATACTCCATGCACTTCGCGACATTGGAGGGTCGTATCCATATGCGGCACGTAAGACACGAGTAAGCTGTTGTGAGGATATTGATTGACATTACCTGATAATTTTGAAATCCTCTTGTTTCATTAATATTAATTTTTACTCATTCAGCATCTATAATACTTTTTCATATATAGAACTTATTACCGCACAGTTAGTAACAACGGGTGCAAGTTGAGCAATGATAGTCGTAATATTTCTTCAGGTATGTGGATGGTTTAATGCTAATAAGCGTAATTCGATATGCGTTGTAATAATGTATTAAATGTTATAAATTATTTCTGATTTTATTACAATAATTTTTAACTAAATTCCACGTTGTCGCTCATGTGACGGAATAATAAGGACTTTCAATGTCATTGCACTTGATATAAGACAGGCGTTATTTCAATATTGCCAGGCTTTCTGCCTTAGTTATATGATCAGTTTTCCTGACCTTACCGCTATACAACCAAATGCGATTCGTTCATCTAAATCACAAAACTAGTTATTGTTAATGGTAGAATCATAAATTGTTAAATTACTTTTGACTAAGAAGATATTGATACTACATGAAAGTATCAGGATACAAAATAAAATGAGGGTCGTGTTAATCATCTTGAGCAAAAGGATCGGGAGTAAGTTGTGGAAATACACATCGGGATTGACAATTGATTAACACACTTGCTCGTAAATACATCACGTTTCCAAACTCTGTGTCAATTTCGTTCACACGTTATACATTCTCAACAATCAAACGCTCTTTCGAGTAGATTACTTCATGCAATTACTTATCAGTTTCGTACCTGTCGCGTGATAAATACTACCTATGTGTTAATTATAAGAACACCTTGTTGAACAAGATCACTGCCTTCGAAGAACATGCGGATAGCAGTCTTGAAGACGGCGTGTTCGATTAGATCCTTAGGGAAGAAGGTTAACTTAGCAGCAACTGCTCGTCGCCAAATAAATTTTTCATATTTGCCCGCAGATACAATCCAATCGAATCTTAATGTTTGACCTCATCCGTACCTTACATTACATGCATGGGAGGCATGGCAAGAGATTAGGCAATATAAAAACACGGAATCAAGTCTTGCAAGTGAAGCAAGGGAATTTTAGAAGTAACCGTTACCAATATTCTCCTAAGATCATAGCTTCTTTGACTTTTTATAGGAGATATAATTTAGAAGAATACTTTCAGATCATTTCCCGTATTAGAATTTCAGCCAATCCACTTTTATACATGGTTGAAGATTATAACAAAGTAAAAATCAATTTTTCATAGTAATGATTATAAGCCTAATTTTGTCCAAGACCGTACCGTTTTCTTATAAATATGAGTTTGGTCAATAAAGCTGGAAAAAATAACAAATAAAAACAGAGTCGACCTTTGTTAAAATAAAACTCCTGTCTTATACCAAAGTGGAATAGTATTGTTATTTCTGCAGAGACAGATTATTTTATTTTATAAAATATATGTTTATGCCATGACAGGTAATGAACAGACAGGACATTTAACTTAAGTGATGAGGTATCTTTGACATCACATTGTAAATTCAGTTCAGTGTATTTGCTAAATAAACTCAGATATTTAATTCCTAAATCCTTACTCAGTGTGCTGTAACTATGAAATATCTCTGTATCTTAGATACCAATTAATGTCCTTTGTGTTATAACATACTTCCGATTTGATGGTAAATCTTTGTAAAATGCGATAGGACAATTCTAGTTTAGATATTGGAAACCGACGACAGCAACTTTCGTGCAATATCAGCATCTAGGAGACAATCAAACCTCTCCACATTGACATGTGGTTGATTGATGAGATTTCCACAATACAATTTCCATCGGAAGCAAATTTTGAAAATGACAGAACACTGTCTTGTGTTAAAATTCTCCCTGGAAGCACGAATAGTATTTATAAGACAGCCGCGTTGTCATTTCAAAGTGATAACAGCAACCGAGGGATAGACCTGTCCATTATATCCAAGTCAATTCAATTTTCTACTTTATCAAATCTGCCACTTGTTTAGTGAGTGTCTTATTGTGTGCAAATATCTTCCCCGTTAGTTCACATTGGCTCACGTGTCACACTGTAGATGGTAAATGTTCATTTATTAGAAGGTGGTCGCTGATGTTTCCAATGTAATATACAACGACACATCACACACGTGTTTATCAGGAAGGTCCCTATCTACTCGTTCCGTTAACATGTAGTTATTTAAAAAAAGATAAAATTAAACCTGTAGAAGGGTTTCCGAAAACAATAAATAGAATTCAGGTTCATAATGTGGGGCCAAATTAAAGATAATATTGTTCCACTGGATGATAACAAAATGAGTGTTTATTTCATTTTTATCATGTCTTTGACACGTGTTAGCGTTTGGCCATTGTCAATTTCACACCGTGAATGATGTACATGGCACACCTGTCTATTACTGTGCGATGTCTATACAATAACGATTACGGCTAAGATAAACACATCCCCGTTTCCCCACCTTACTATTTACTTTAGCCACCCGATAATCTGATACTGTCACCTCCCCCTACCCCATATCCCCTCCGCTCTTCCCTCTCCCCCCTCACGGGTTACGTTCTCCGGTAAGAATACTAGACGTCCATAGACTAACCCGTGGGAATAGTGAGCCGTGTTGCTTAACGAATTAGCACATGAAATCCGTCTTGATTGTCTTATTGCGCTATGTTGCTTGCTAATCTACAACACCCCCTAGGGTAGCGTTTGTTATACGTGTAAGCTTGAATGCTCCTAACGGGGGACTGACACGTGCTTGTTTGAATTATATATTTTCTACGATACTTCGAATTCTTTGCTTTGTTTCTTATAGAAATATTAGCGTTAAGAATATGACGACGAACCTGGCACACCTACAGCCTATGTTGAATACAGGAGTGATGGGTGATAACGAGTCTTGTTAAAATATCGACTTTAAAAAAGATATAGAGATGCAAGCGTGATTGTGGGTAGATGAGATGTGTTCCTGGATGACAACGGAATTGAGATTGTAAAAAAATATCTTCGTGTAAGAGAGTTCAGTGTCAGTTTACAGAAATGGCACGGTAGACAGAGCGGATTTATCTAGAAACGTTTACTCAGAAAATGAGAGGGGTTTGATATTTGCAATTGACATGTCAAATACATCATAGATATCAGCGGGGACGAGTCTGATGAAGCTATGGGGACTAAAGCTTAATTGTAGCCTAAATGATAGATTATGACCATGGGATCTAGTTGAAAGGTTCCAACCCTTCTTTTAAGCTAAATTCCGCATTGAAAGGGGCAGAATTTTCCTTGAATGGAGCTTTAACGAAGCAACCCTCGAGCCCCGCTCAAGTGCGCTCCGACTGGTCGTGTGTTTGGTTAGCGAAGGCCGATCCAACGGTTGGACAACTCTTCACTGGTAAGGGTTGTATGGGAGACTTATTACACGGAAAACATCTCACAACAAGAAGATAGAAATGTATAGCCAAAGGAAACTAAATGAGACTACTTGTCTTTTTTCCTTAATAATATCTCTGGTACCTGCTATCGACACGGCTCGGGCGACAAAAAGATAGCGATTTCACCGAGGTTTGAAATTGACACGGTCAAGCATCAATCAATGGTAAATGACTTAGGTGTCGCGCAGTCACGACTCGTAGGGTCCGTGATTGGCGGAAATTGTTGCAAAGTTGACGCAACTTTTCGGTATCCAGCCAAAGTAAATTCTCTGATTAATAGTGATATTTCCGATGTTGGTTTTGCGTGAAATGCATCCAATTTCTCCTGCAATTGACGAAGGTCGGTTTCAGCTGATAAAGACACCTCGGTTCCAAGCCCTTAAGATCAGCGTATCGATAAACAAACGTGCAAGTAATTACAAGAGATGATATTCCTCTGAAGATGAGCCCTTTAACAATGTTGAAATGAACAACGGTTTTATTGCCGAATCGCCTCAATTAAGCACGTACCTCTGAAATTGACAATCTTTAAACTTGGCCGAGGCTGTCTCTCGCTGGCTTTGTTCCTCCGGCCTCGGATCATATAATTTTTGGTGAATCATTTCAAACAGTTTTTTCTGTTTTGTTGATATTAGAATGAAGCCGATAATAGTAATCGACATTTCATGAAATTTTGTTTGCACTGGCTAAAAAAGTTGGAAAAACTTTCGGATTAAGAAGTGCAAAGATCTTCTTTTCGAACATTCACAAACCGGCATTAAGTTACACTTACACCGTATTAAGTTACACTTACACCGTATTAAGGAAAAGATGCAAAGCATTAACATACTTAAAAATAGCAAAAATAATAACTCTGACGTATTGGTGTTCATATATGTACTAATGAAAAGGAAATGAAACAAAAATACAACTGAAAATTCAACACAAATTTGTAACAAAGGTGTTTAAATTGATAGTAAATATTTTTAGATAGGTAAGTATACATCTCTTTCATAAGTAATTAAACATGAATTGCTTGTAAAATATCCATGTACATGCAACTTTTTCAATTATTCATACCTGATCGAGCATTGTTTACTTTTAATTAAGTCAATACTAAAAACCAACAGTTACACATACAAACTTGATTTCAATACCACTGGAGGTTTTGATTAATATTTTATTGTGCATCACCAATTTGACAGGGATATTTGTCTACTGTCATAAAAAGCATGGTATATATACACAATCGATGATCATAAATAGCTTTCCCATTAGCCAACTACATGATCTGTAGAAGATGCGAGGAGCTATAGAATAGTGGCATTGTCCGTGTCTACATTGGACACATTAAATACGAATGAAGCGCATCGAATATTCATTGAAACGGAACTTGGTTTAATACAAACATGTCATAAATATTTTATATCATGTACATTTACACTCCGCCTACTCTCCGTGTTTATTTATGCAAAACGTCTATTTCATTTCATTGTACATTTCAAATGAGACTATTTTCAGTCAGCAATATTATTTACGTCAGGTTCATAATGTATTAGTATGATGTAGTGTTTAATAAGTCAATAATTTGAAACCATGATGAAAACCTCCCCAATCATATAAGTATAATAAAGTGTTATTGCTCTATATGTGCACAATATGTAATAAAGAATGCAGTGTATATTTGAAAGAACCCAATGATTACTGTGATAAAGTGTTGACATACACGGTGCACATTTGTACAATATAAATCTTCATCGTTTTGCCTGAATTTCGTTTTTACATATTCATGTTTTAGGAGTTACAAAGATGTTACGGTTTCTTATACATTCCTGAACACCTAATTCTGACAAGCATTAGAAAATGAAAACTTTTCGTTAGCCCTTTCTGTACAGCTGGGAATTTCGATTTATTTCAAAACGTTTCGAAACGATCACTGAATATCTATGTAGTCAAACAGCACTGGAAGCAATGCTCTGTTCACGAATCCTGCAATACACGGGGAACACTGTTGCCAGGCTCGATTGATAATTTGTAGTCCTATTATTTATGAATCATCGTACTTGTCGGAAATTGTATAGCTATTAGTGGGGGTCAAGTTTGACACGTAATAACGTGTTTTCGTTTCAGTTCGGTATTTAAATTTCACCTAAATGAAACATCAAATTGTGATATACTCGACCTTCCGTTTATAATATATGCCATCCTACACGCAAAGCCGCAAAGTGATTGCAATATCTTGAAGGCATCATTACAGAGATAGACATCATATCAGGACTACGGAAAATCCTTGGCGACAGTCAACCCGAGCAATTTAGCCGAATGTCATGTTGTTGTGAACCTGTCAGTTTAGATGGTAGTAATTGCCTTAATTCAGAAAAAAATCCGAGCAAATCAACTGCAATACCTCCAGCAAAAAGGTAAAGTGTCACTGAGTTCGACTGGCTTTTTTATTGTAGTAAATGATTTGAGACTGAGTCGAAAAATGTGCCACAAAACATACATATGCATACAGTTTTCAAATATTTCCCGCGCTATGTTAAAATTAAACTTTGTCAAATATAATTATTTACGTATGCACAAAAATTATTATTGTAACCCAGTGGTTATAATTTACCATATGTAATGTTTTATGCAAGTCGTGGTATGTTAAGATTATTATCAGGGCATTATCGACATAAAACACAGACTTTAATGTACCTGATGATTATATTGAACACAATAGTACATTATTGAACGAATGCGCATATATCTTTGCTCAAACGATCTGAAGCGAGTAGGACAAGTTATAGAAGCTTGCTTTTATTTCATTCGTACAATACGGTGTACATATGATATAAAATCGAATACCATATTGACAGACTAATTAAGAGAAAGTCGTTGAAATCCTGATTTTATGATTCCTATTTCCAACGAAATATCATCCTTTCTTGATTATAAGACAGGCGTAGATGTCTTTTTAAACATCTGCAGACAATTTGGTCTTGCTAAAATCAAAAGTGATCTTAACTTGATAATTATAAATATTTTGGCAATGATATTGTCTTAAACATAGATTGAACAATACAGGATGAAAGGTGTAGAGAATGAATGCAGCATCGTCGATATCGAATACATCTCTTCACTATTAACCGAGTTCATATATATAAGTTAAATTTCATGTAAACAAAATATAATCATTACGAGTTTCTAAGATGACAACAATTTGTATAAATTCAAATATATCCATCAATGAAATAAGTGATCGTTTAAAAATATTTCCCTCTGAACAAACCAACGTAATTAACATATTTCTGTACAGCACTTATTTTCCCTGGAAAACGTTTTACATATCATTATGGTATTCGTCCAATAAATTAATCATAAAAGTCAGTATTATGGGCATTCCGGCAAATCTCGTTATTACAGATTTGGAGATGTGAATACACTCTGTGAAATTCAATTTCTGAGATCACTATAACTGCTTTCCCGTCTCATTCCATTTATGCAATCTAGTTTGAACGATAAGGGGCGCTGGTCCTGTAATCCTCTTCACAAAGTTCCATTTATCAGTCAGTTTTGATTAGATTTGATATTTTCTCATTTTTTCCAAATTATATGAGATGTTAGATAATGTAAACCCATTACAAGATATTCGCCTGACTGTCCACTGACCGCTTACACTAACAGTATTACACGTCTCAGTTGAGATGTTCTCGGACGCTCAAAATCTCACGAGACTATGAACGACGTCGGCATGTGACTATACACGATTTTTAAATTTACTTTATTTCACTGTTTTAGATTTTCGTGCGTGTGTATTTTCATATCTGAGAAATTAATATTTGTTTGAATTTATGAAGTAATCTATTTTGTCCAACAACGTATTTACATTTTAATAATATTAGAATTAATATACGACTTCTAATAAGTAGTGTTTACTCAACAACAGTCTACAAAATTATATCTGCAACGAAAATTTACTATTTGATTACGGTAAAAATCAAATGTTACTATTTTTTCTGTTTTGCAAATACAATATTTGTAATTTTAATTTTTCAGATTACAGCAACAGGGCCCGTTATCAGCTGCAGATAGGCTCAAACTTCAGTCAGACCCAAGCCTGTCACGTGATGACATACGATCGTCGTCGTCGGCAGACGCCGGAGTGTGTCAAATGGACTCGGATGATGACGATGATCTATTTTGTGATGATTCGCGTAGTGATACAAGTACACCATCCACGAGTGCGGAACACCAGGACATTGAGCCTCACGCTTCATGATCAGCCAACCAAAAGACAGGTTACATCCAGTCATGGCTAAGCACCAACGTCGAAGACATCACTCAGGTATCGTCTGCTTTGCACGTTTCATCACGTGATCAACGCCAACTTAAAAGAGTGAAATGACGAAATATTAAGCAAACCCTCCAGCAGACGATTGCCCATGGTGGAACTTAGTCTCACTCAAAGTGCTGTCGTGACGATTCCGGCTGCAATATTGACAAATTTGTTCAGTCTTGATCATCAATTTAGCTGTCGTCTGCTTACAGTTCTGTTTGTCTCTTATTGGTCAGTCTCGGCTCGTGACGTCATGTTTATTTTGGGAGGAAACTTCCCTTCCGCTTGTTGTAATGGCAGTATCTTTAAAAAGGATGTCTGACAAAGTTGTGTCCCCTTTGTAGCCTTGAACTTTAAGACAGTCACTCACGGAGAAGTCAATATAGGACCGAGCTATATGGATCATTGGAGTCCTTCATCTGGTCACCAAGCCAACTGCTAAGACCCGGTCTATGGAGAAGTCAGTCTAGGACCGAGCCATGTGGATGATGGAATCCCTCATCTGGTCGCCAAGGTAACAGCTAAGATCTGGTCTGCGCCGTTCCTCTCCAAAGACCAGATTCCGACTGTGATGAGACTGATAGAAAAACATATATTTATGTGTTATCAAATATATGAGTATCAACGAAGGAGAAATGTCGAACGAAATTTTGACAGTCTCAAAATATTGTGCTAATCTTTGGCAAACCAAAGCAAACCATTGAACTAAATTAACCCCAAATGTGTATATGTACATATTTAAGTTAATGTCTTGAGAACCTGGTGGGATGTTAGATTCTCTGTCAGGCGTAATGAGATCAGTCCAAGCGGTTACTCTATACCACAATCTCATTTTTGTTATTAAAGTATGTTATAATCACAACTTATATCTCTGTTCTGTTTTCAATGTTTTAGCACATACCGTGGGTTATTACACCACTGTCATCATAGAGAGAGCTTATTTGCCCTTTTTTAAATGAAGTTTAATCTATATGTAAAACAGATCAGTATATTAAGGTATTCCGTATGTTTCGAATGATTGTACTTCTAACTGTCGTGTAGTGGCTTTTCACATAAATGCTGAAATATATCGTCATCATTGCAAATTCTTTGATGAAGAAATCACTTACAAGACTTTGGATTGGAATCTCTTCTGTTTGAATTTAAACCTGCATTCATATCAACTACGAAGACTTTTTAAGACATGGTTTAGAAACTTCATGGAGAATATTTTATGCACACTGGGTAATAAACACAAGTATGTATATGGGAGTAGTATAGAGGTCTTGATAACACCTACTGGGATGCATTCTCTTCGTAACAGTTTCACGTTTTGTTAAATGTTTCTACATCAACATGTTTCAGTTTAAAATTATCGTTAACTTATGATTGCCAACACAGGGCCGAAGATAGTAGCTACAAGGGATAGCATTCCGATGTTTTCTTTATCAATCAGTTTATAGTCAGTTTTATCTGTTGACAAGAAACACTCCCACACGTAAAGCACTGTTCTTGATGTGTTTCAAGACGCTTGGCTGGGTCCTAAAGTATCACACATTTAAAGCTAACGTGACCGTGATCATATGAGTTTTTGCTTATCGGAAATTATTCATAATGGTAATAATAACAATAACCATAACGACTATATAGCATCAGGATTCATCAATACTCCGTTTACTCAGACCAGGTAGCTTCATGCTGACAGAATGCCTTTTGGGGTACCCTCAATATTCTTAGCGTTTCGAACAGCTTTCAGACACCCGTAACGATGAATGTAAGCAACGAGACATTTCATCTTAATATTTAATCAGAACGAAAACAATTCTGGGAGGATTTTACTAAGAATGTGTTTTCTAATTTATTTAAAAAAATTCATTGTGTCCAACACAACTGCTGAAAAGAACATGGAGTTTTGTGTTATGTGTTATCCAAACAAATAATAATATTATCAATAACTACTTTACCACAGTCACGTTTGGCTTGGGTGTGTTATGATAAGCTGCTCAACGTCTGAACTTTGACACTTGGATATGTTAAGAAATTATCGCTGACAACTGAGTCAGCTGACATGAGCATTAGAGTGATGAATAAAATATATATACCCAAGTGATGGGTAACAGGTGATGAAGATTAAGGCCTAACACGGAAATGAAATATATTGAGAGATTGCCAAATTCACTTTGCAGTTCAGGGTTTTCTTTTTAACAGTGGAAAGTAACCGTGTAAATGAAAACAAAATCATATTTCAACTTCCTTCGTAAGAACTATGTAAGGCTGAGGAGCTGCCTTTTCATGAATCATATTGATAAACGTGGCAAGTTATATTGACACTGGGAGTTGTACCAGTTGTAAAAATAATCATCCAAATATGTACTTAAAATAACTAATATATAAAAGGTTTTCATAACAAAGTTCTATGTGACATTTGATGCTAGGATTTATAAACGACAAAATCCTTGTCACATCCACAAGAACTTGCCAAAAACAAAGTCGATTGTACGATTTCAACTGTATATCATGAGCATGCATGTTTATGAATCCTCATGAAATAGTGATGGTACCAGGTGTTCGCGAAAAGTCATGTGTTGTGCTTGAATTAAACAGACATTGTGAAAAACGGCAGCCTTGCGTACTATTTATTTTAAAAACTTAATCCGTGGGAATATTAAACATATGTTTATAATCATCTACGTTGGTTCCGTAGTTTAACTTTATTTCGTTAAACTCCTTTTGGTGATTTGATCACTTGTAGCTTATTGAGAAAGTCAACCCAGTGCTGTGCCTTGTTTGAGTAACTTTTATTATGACTGAATTCAAATTTCACACAACCCGACAAACGAAAGGATACAAGCACCAAGTATGAACAAGTTGTACACAACCGCCTTATATACCGACAGGCTCAGGTTGAAGCGTGCGAATCAGCTGGTCAAATTTGAGTTACGTTTATGTGATACACCATACTCAAGAATCACACATAACAAGTATCAACAAAATGCGGTCTTCGTTGAAATCGTGTAACCTGCGAACTATGTAAACCTGGTAACAATGCACGCAATGACTCTCACCTAAGATTGCTTGTTTCTTACATTAGGATTGCCCGCTTAACAACAAAGTAAGTACCGAGGTACGCTAACATACTGACCATAGAAACGCATGCTATTGATACTGGCCATTGAGGAAAATCATAACAATAAGAGGCATCTCGTGTCATCACATACCATTTTGACCGGTCTTTTAACAGTGTCAGTTAAGACCAATCTTAGACTCATGGCTTACATTATGAAAATTTCAGAAATATGAAAGCACGTTTTTGTTTTACCATCTTGCATTGAATGTGTGTTTATTGCAGGCACTGCACTGTATGCAAGCACGTAATTTAAAGTAAATTTGAATTTGAAACATTGCAGGAAAGGAATTAGCAAAGTAATACAAAAACATACATTTGTCTGGGCACTGAGAGTACTGTCCGACATTTAAGTGTGAGTGATGATTAACATGGGTGTTCATGAGAGGCGGTGGGTGATCACGGATAGTCGTTGGTGACCATGGAGGGACATGGGTGATCACGGATAGTCGTTGGTGGCCATGGAGGGACATGGGTGATCACGGATAGTCGTTGGTGGCCATGGAGGGACATGGGTGATCACGGATAGTCGTTGGTGGCCATGGAGGGACATGGGTGATCACGGATAGTCGTTGGTGGTCATGGAGGGACATGGGTGATCACGGATAGTCGTTGGTGGCCATGGAGGGACATGGGTGATCACGGATAGTCGTTGGTGGCCATGGAGGACATGGGTGATCACGGATAGTCGTTGGTGGCCATGGAGGGACATGGGTGATCACGGATAGTCGTTGGTAGCCATGGAGGGACATGGGTGATCACGGATAGTCGTTGGTGGTCATGGAGGGACATGGGTGATCACGGATAGTCGTTGGTGGCCATGGAGGGACATGGGTGATCACGGATAGTCGTTGGTGGTCATGGAGGGACATGGGTGATCACGGATAGTCGTTGGTGGCCATGGAGGGATATGGGTGATCACGGATAATCGTTGGTGGCCATGAGGATATGGGTGATCACGGATAGTCGTTGGTGGCCATAGAGGGATATGGGTGATCACGGATAGTCGTTGGTGGCCATAGAGGGACATGGGTGTTCACGGATAGTCGTTGGTGGCCATGGAGGGACATGGGTGATCACGGATAGTCGTTGGTGGCCATGGAGGGACATGGGTGATCACGGATAGTCGTTGGTGGCCATGGAGGGATATGGGTGATCACGGATAGTCGTTGGTGGCCATGGAGGGACATGGGTGATCACGGATAGTCGTTGGTGGCCATGGAGGGACATGGGTGATCACGGATAGTCGTTGGTAGCCATGGAGGGATAAGGGTGATCACGATAGTCGTTGAGTAGCCATGGAGGGACATGGGTGATCACGGATAGTCGTTGGTAGCCATGGAGGGACATGGGTGATTGTTGGTGATGGAGGGACATGGGTGATCACGGATAGTCGTTGGTGGCCATGGAGGGACATGGGTGATCACGGATAGTCGTTGGTGACCATGGAGGGACATGGGTGATCACGGATAGTCGTTGGTGGCCATGAGGATATGGGTGATCACGGATAGTCGTTGGTGGACATAGAGGGATATGGGCGATCACGGATAGTCGTTGGTGGCCATGGAGGACATGGGTGATCACGGATAGTCGTTGGTAGCCATGGAGGACATGGGTGATCACGGATAGTCGTTAGTGGTATGGAGGGACATGGGTGATCACGGATAGTCGTTGGATACGTCATGGAGGGACATGGGTGATCACGGATAGTCGTTGGTGGCCATGGGGACATGGGTGATCACGGATAGTCGATATCACGGATAGTCGTTGGTGGACATAGGGGGATATGGGTGATCACGGATAGTCGTTGGTGGCCAGGGACATGGGTGTTCACGGATAGTCGTTGATAGTGGCCATGGAGGACATGGGTGATACGTCGTTGGTGGCCATGGAGGACATGGGTGATCACGGATAGTCGTTGGTAGCCATGGAATGATATGGGTGATCACGGATAGTCGTTGGTGGCCATGGAGGGACATGGGTGATCACGGATAGTCGTTGGTGGCCATGGAGGCACATGGGTGATCACGGATAGTCGTTGGTGGCCATGGAGGGATAAGGGTGATCACGGATAGTCGTTGGTGGCCATGGAGGGACATTGGTGATCACGGATAGTCGTTGGTGGTCATGGAGGACATGGGTGATCACGGATAGTCGTTGGTGGCCATGGAGGGATATGGGTGATCACGGATAGTCGTTGGTAATATGGAGGGATATGGGTGATCACTGATAGTCGTTGGTGGCCATGGAGGAACATGGGTGATCACGGATAGTCGTTGGTGGCCATGGAATGATATGGGTGATCACGGATAGTCGTTGGTGGTCATGGAGGGACATGGGTGATCACGGATAGTCGTTGGTGGCCATGGAGGGACATGGGTGATCACGGATAGTCGTTGGTAGCCATGGAGGGATATGGGTGATCACGGATAGTCGTTGGTAGCCATGGAGGACATGGGTCTTCACGGATAGTCGTTGGTAGGCCATAGAGGGACATGGGTGATCACGGATAGTCGTTGGTAGCCATGGAGGACATGGGTGATCACGGATAGTCGTTGGTGGCCATGGAGGGACATGGGTGATCACGGATAGTCGTTGGTGGCCATGGAGGGACATGGGTGATCACGGATAGTCGTTGGTGGCCATGGAGGGACATGGGTGATCACGGATAGTCGTTGGTGGCCATGGAATGATATGGGTGTTCACGGATAGTCGTTGGTGGCCATAGAGGGACATGGGTGTTCACGGATAGTCGTTGGTGGC